TTTCTTTATAAAATAACTGTGCATTTAACATAGAGTGAAGTAACAAATAAGTTGTAGTATATATTGCAATTTAGTTAAGAAAGCACTTTTAATTGAACTTAAATCAAGCTACTGTATGAAATAAGGGGCTGGAGAGATGGTAGAGTGGTGAGGAACTAGCCTTACACTGAGATCTTGCCATACACCCCTCCCCTCAGCACCCCGAGAACCCTGATCTCTGAGCACAGAGCCAGGCTTGTTTGGGCACAAAAGCAAAAACAAAAAGAATATTTTCAGTACTTTTGAATCACACTGTATTACAACTCAGTTTTACTTATAACTAAAGGAATGTGCTTTATAGTTTATTTGAAATTATCTTGAAATCTCTTTTGGGCCAGGAGAGACTATATCGGGTAAACACTTGTGTTGTACAAATTTAATCCAGGTTCTGTTCCCAGTGCAGAGCCAGGAGAAAGCTCTAACTGAGCACAGAAGAAAGAAAAAGGAGAGGAGTAGAGGGAAGGGGAGAGGAGGGGAGGCGGGAAGGGTGGGGAGGGGAGGAGAAATGAGAGAGAGGAAAAGGAGAGGAAGAGATAAAGGGAGAGGAGAAGGGAGGGAGGGAGAGAGAGGAAGAAAGGAAGGAAGGAAGGAAGGAAGGAAGGAAGGAAGGAAGGAAGGAAGGAAGGAAGGAAGGAAGGAAGGATGGATTAAATGGAGTTTCTGAGGGAAATTTTTTTAATATTCTACACAGCTGTTTTGTTCATTCTGGAAATAGAAAATCTCACAAAAATATCAAAGGGATTATGATTCAAACATTTTATCTCAGCTATATAATATTTTATTCAGAACTATTATGGCCCACCTTAGTCAACATACTTATGAAACAGTTTTAATTTCTCCAACCACTTTTTCTGACTTTCAACCATGCTGTAATTCCAGCTTTTATCCTCTGGTTTTGCAGTCTCATCATTATTTCTCTGAAATTACGACATCCAGAATTACATATAATCTCCCATATATGATCTAATAATTATGCCAGCCAGTGGGAATGCTGAGTGCAGGGATATGCTCAGTGACAGAACGCCTAAGTTGTGTTCATGAGGACAGAAGTATGGCCCACACTCCACCTCATATCTCTTTGTGCAATCTTCTTTGTGCAATGCCAGTTTTGTCCGAGGTGCCACAAGAGTGTGACTACCCAGCTCACCACAGTCAAGTTTTCCACTCCATGAAATCACAACTATAACAACAAAGAGATGGAAAGGAGATCAGAGAAATAGTTATAGAGCTGATTATTATCATTTTTATGAAAGGTCAACATTAACATTCAAGAAGATTTTTAGGCAGCAGTATCAAAATATAAATGCGCCTATGTTTTGACTTTAATGCAAAACCATATTGTTAGTGCACTGTCTCTCCTCCCGTTGATCATCGATTTGCCATATAGTCAGTATATGAGTAATATCATCTATTATTTCTCACAACTTTATAATTTAATTTTCATTAAATCTATCATATTAGCTACTAATACAAAATTTTTTCTTTTATTATTGATTAAAAATTGAATAGAAAATATTGAAACACCAAAGTGATTTTTATAACATAATTTCAAAAACTTTTTATCTGATTGTAGATCAGCACTATGTAGATAGAGTTGTTTCACATGCTAGAAAGTAACCCACTTACATTTTTTTTGTTCTTGATTAAATTATTGATTATTTTTCTAATCTTTTAGCAAAATTTTTTACAGAATCTTTAATCGAAGAATTTCAAGAGTTTGAAAGGATTATCACCTCAATATGGATCTAATTCTTATCACTCCTCCAGCAAAGTTCCAGTGTCATACTTCCACCCAAAAGATACCCCTCTTCATTCTTCCCAGTACCCTCTCTTCTTGTCCTCTGGTACACCATAGTTTCACTGAGTCTGAGTTAGTTTTGCTGTTTCTTGACAGTTTGTTTGCTTTAGTAATTCATGTTTCACATGTTATTGGATAGTGAAGCTATCCAATAATTGTCTTTCAATTTTTTGCCCATTCCATATAGCATAATCACCCCAAGATGCATACATTTTATACCAAAGGGTATAATTTCATCTTCATTAGAAAAGTAGTATCCATACCTTTTTTTTGTCCACCCATATATTATTGAGTATATAAGTTGATCCCATGTTTTTGCTACATAAATATTATAGTTTCTTCAACTCCCTGACTTTTCTCACCCAATCAATTATTTTATCCTTTGAAGTCTCTTTTTTATTTTTATTTTTTGACTTTTATTTATTTACATATTTTGCTTAAACTGTTTTATTTTTTCAAGATTTTTTATTGAAACACTGTGAAATAGACTCTTATAAAGCTGTTCATAATTAGGTTTTAGTCATATAGAATTCCAACACCCTACCCTACGCCAGTGTCCACTCCATATACACATCAGTTAACCTTTCTGAATCAAGACTTCTGGTTTCTTCCTTCTCAACTCCTGCCATCTTCTATCACCACCACTACCATGTCTACTTGCACCTAAGTACTCCTGCATTCTTCACAGCTTGGTACAACTACCACTGGGTAATTTTCAGTCATCCCAGGTTGCACTGTTGCTTTTTTTACAAAGTGGATCCATCACCCTTCCTTATCTAACGCATGGTTAGCTATTACATATTCTGGGCACTCTTTTATGATTCCTCCCACATAAGCAGGGTTATGTTTCATTTCCAGGTTCACATGCCACTCCATGAATGCTCCCTATAGTGTTTGCTCTGATAGATTTTAGTATGCACTCTCTTTGACCATCTTTCTAGTGATATTACACGTTAGAAAACTATTTCTAATTTTAAAATTATCATGTTGCTGAGACCAGAGTAAATATGCAATGACTCATCGTCAATATCTTACATTTAGAAGAGTTTTTAACTTACAACAAAATAGAAATACCCCATCTATTTTCTACCCTATACACATTTATAAACATTACACACCAGAAAGCTGCACTTGCTGCAACTGATGAACCTACACTGATGAACCTACACTGACAAATCATAATCAAACCGAAGTTCATGACTTACATTCGTGTTCACTCACTTTTGTGCAGTCTATGAACTTGAAGAAATTTATAATGACATGTATTAACCTGCATAGAAATATACAGAACATATCCACTATCTTGGGCTGGAGCGATAGCACAGCGGGTAGGGTGTTTGCCTTGCACGCAGCCAACATGGCCGACCCAGTTCGATTCCTCCACCCCTCTCAGAGAGCCCGGCAAGCTACTGAGAGTATCTCACCCACATGGCAAAGCCTGGCAAGCTACCAGTGATGTATTCGATATGCCAAACACAGTAACAAGTTTCATAATGGAGACGTTACTGGGCCTGCTCGAGAAAATTGATGAACAATGGGAGGACCGTGACCTTGATCCACTGTCTCAAAGTCCTCTGTACTTTGCTTATTTGTGCCTCTCTTAAATCCGGGTAAACACTGACCTTTTTCTGCCTCCATAATTTTGCCTGTCCTAGAGTGTCATGTAGTTGGATTTATACTGTATGTGCCCTTTCAAGACTGACATATTTCACTTAGTAATATGCATTCCATTTTCTTCCATGTCATTTCATGACTGATATTTTTTAGCACTAAATAATATTCCACTGGATGTATGACCATTTAATTAACCAATATAAAATTTTTGTTCCATGAAGACAATTTTTGAAACTTTTTTCCTAATTTCTAAAGATTTTTCTAACACAAAAATTCCAGAAGTGAAGTTTATCTCATTCCTGGTCTAATATCTCATAGAAAACCCGGTATTTATATTGATGCAATATCCCACTGTTTTGAATTATGAAAGCACAATATATGACTTTAATTTCTTCAAATGGCAAAGCAGTACTGTGAGAAACCCACATGGATAAACTCAAGGCTGAACTATCCATAAAGGGAGGATAAATTTAATATAGGCAAATGAGAGAGTAACATAGGTATTTTGAAGACAATGACAAAGTATATAGTTTTAGAATGTGCCAATAAACAAAAATAAAGCAAACATTTAAAGATACCATATATCCGATGAAGGGTCTATTAATAACTAATATAATAACTGCCATTATTTTTATTCAAAAACAAATACAAATTTTTCCCTTTCCCTTTATATGCTTTGGGAATTAGCTCACGATAGAGAAATGATCCATTTGATCATATAAACTGAGTCTCTTTAGCAACAATTGTTATTCAAGAAAGCTTTCTGTATAACATTCAGGTTCTCCCTCAGTTTGGGCCCACAGCTTCTTTCAAATTCTCTTTCCAGGTGGCTGAATATTAGGATGTGTCCTTACTAGTCTCTGCACCACTATCTAAATTGGCTACTAAATACCAAATCACTATGAAAAATTTTTGGAAAATTACTAGCTGAACACATATATTTTAATAAATAATCAACACCCTTCAGATTTTCAAGAATGAAAATTCTTTAACGAGCTCAAGCTTAAAAGGTAGCAGTAAAAATTTAAGTGATGAATAAAAATGAAAGGATGATGTATGGATTGAAAAAAGGGAAGAGAGTTACAAGTTGGAGAGCATTCAGAGCTTAATAGAAGGTTAGAGCTGGAAGAACTTTTGGCCTTGTACCAAAAGGCGATAAACTACTACAATTTTTGAATGTGGATTGATGGCAGGAAGTGAGAAAAACAGATGCTGATCTCCAAATTTAAAAAAATTTAAATCTCGGTAAAAGTTCACTGTCCTCAATCCAGGCAACCCTCTTGCTTTCTCGGTTGCTACAACTGGGACTTTAAATTTTGCCTTCAGTGCGGGTCATTTGATTATTTATTAATTATGAAGGAGCATATATACAACTCATGTCTTACTAATGTAAAATTAATTAGCAAATATTCAGAATGTGCTTTGAAGATGAAAAGTTGTGTGAGTGTTAAGTATCATTATATTATTATCATAAAACACACAAAAGCCACAGGCTCTCGTAAGCTAAATAGGTGGAGATTGACTGTCCCACCCGGCACTCAGAGAGAAGATGGCAAAGGGACAACCTCAGCAGGGAGAGCCGGCATGGACAGCACTGAGAACCAGGTGGGCTTAAGGGTTAAGGTGGCGGATGGACCAGGGCAGGCAGTGGATGGCTCGCCATTTTTCTGTATGTGAAAATTCTTTGGCCAAACTCATTAAAGTGCTTCATTTTATTTCAGTGTTCTTAAAAATGAGCTGCCTTTCTAGCCTTTCGGTGGAAAGAGAAGTGTGTGTCTATCAAAAAGGCAAAATTGTCATTATTAATACTGATTCTTTTCAAGTGTTAGCTTTTGTATTCTGGTTAATTTACTTGAGAAATCCTTACCTCACAAATAGGACATTTTTTAAACATATGTATAATTTGAAAAGATTTACTCCTGGCTATGTGCTCAGGGATCACTCCTGACAGTGATTTTTAGGGCACCATATGTGGTGTCCGGGATCAAACAAAGGTTGATTGTGTGCAAGGCAAGTGTACTTATAGTACACCTGTACTATCTCTCTGATCTGTGGTCCTAAATTCTTAATGAAAATTTAGACAGCTTCCTATTTTCATAGTTTGTCAATACCTATAATCTTGGTGAATAGTACAATGTTGGGTGGAATGTAACTTGCAGATCAATAGCTTTAAAGTGAAATATTTTACCTTTACAATTTCACATTAATATTTAACTAATGAGCTGTAACAGAATCCCTGAAATAATCTCTATGAAACAGCTACTGATAATCCTTGTTATCTAACAAAAAAAACAAATAAACAAAAACCCTGATTAATCTGTTTGATCTTGGCATCTAAGCACTGAGTATTATGTCCATGTTAACTTAGTTCCTTATGCTACATAAACAACATATGACAATCTATAGACAGTTCCTGGCTACCTTCTTCCAAGAGATTAAAAAAATTACAACCCACCAGCAACTTATATTTTCTGAATTAATTAAATCATTCTATGATCATCCCAAGCTTTTTAATATTATACCCAGAAAATTTTAAAATATACATGGGCAAAGATACACTAGAAAATTTAGACAAAAATTAAGACAACTTCTTTGCTTACACTCCTATTCAAGAAAAATTTTTTCAAATAATAAGCTATACCATCTTAACCAGAACTCCACATAATAACAACACTTTGGGGAAGTTAAATTTACATGTCTTGAATTTTTTTTGTGGACCACTCTATAGAATACTGATATAGACAAAGCTAAACTTTCCTTTTGAATTTACGAACACATACATACCAAGATAATCAGTTTTCAAGTCAATAAATCACAGGTAAGAAGAACATGTATGTCTTAGAAACTCAGATGATAATTAAAGAAATAAACACTTAGTTCATGTGCCTTTAAAATTAATTTTTATTCACTACCCATGATATTACATTTGTAAGTCAAAATTCATTCTGAATCAAAAGTCACTGAAGTGATCTTTTTGACTATCATATAACTAAGAGTTGTCAGCTAAAGTACTTTCTATGAGTTAATTTTTCATCTTGAAATAAGAAAATACTTCTAACTCAAAATAGTGTATTACTGCTTATTATATACAGTTTACTACTAAAAAGAAAATTCTTTTTAGATACTAAAGAGAATGTACTTGGAAAACCTAGATTTGAACTTAATGTCTTTAAGGGAAAATATTGACCTACTATTTTAAACTCTTCTTTAAAATTAAGAAACTGGGATGGGTGATCTGTGTCATCACTTTTATCTCCAAATTGTTTTCTGTCTCACAGTTGACATTGGATGGAATTTTAAATATAAACAATTCTACCAAAGTAAAAAGAATTCTTGCACTTAAGAATCAGCTATAGATAAAATAATAAACAATGAATTAATAGTATCTGCTTATCTATTTGCTCGAGCAGGCCCAGTAACGTCTCCATTGGAGACTTTGTTGTTACTGTGTCTGGCACATCGAATACTCTCGGTAGCTTGCAGGGCTCTCCGAGAGGGGCGGAGGAATCAAACTCGGGTCGGCCATGTTGGCTGCGTGCAAGGCAGACGCCCTACCCGCTGTGCTATCGCTCCAGCCCCGGCTAAGATACCGTAAAATTTCTAGTATTGAATTTTACCTATAAAAGCAAAACTTATATAGTTCAATATATCGGGACACAATTGAGAATAGAAAACATACTCTAGTGTTTTCTACAAAAAATTTTCACTCCATCTGTCAAATTTTTATTTTATTTTATTTATTCTCTGGCAATGCGCATTGAATGAATTATGCAAGAAAACACCTGTAGGTATGGAAAATAATGCTATAGGACAAAATACTCATTTGCAGGATTTAACTTACCTGATCATCATGTATATTATTTAGTCATTTGTATTTCAAAAAATTTAAAAATTGCTGTTGATAAGTAAATACTCTTTACTTACCTTTAATGAGGAAAGTGTGTTTTTTTATTAACATACAGAATGAGACATCTTTTATGATATTTTAGATTTTACTTTATCATGTAATAAAAATTGACTTGGAATCATTTTACATATGATTATTATAGTGTATGAGATATATTTTATGACAGGGTGAAAACTTAATTTTTACAAAATATATATTTGGGGGCCACTCCTAGTGGTTCTCAGGAATCACTCCTGTTGAGTTGAGGACTGAGGAACATATGGGGTGCCAGGGATCAAACCCAGGTTGCTCGTGTGCAAAGCAAGTCCCCACTGTACTATCTCTCTAGCCCTGCCTGACAGAATATATTTAAATCTGTTTAAATTATTAATATAAAATTTTTAAAAATATCAAGAATTATAATTTCACGTACATTAAATTTCTCTTTTGTGTTAACTCTTCAGACAATATTATTTGTTTAGGAAATGACTTGACTAAAGTGTAAATTTCTTGATAGATATTTGATTCTGTTTGTAAATAAAACTCAATGTGTACCAAACTAAGTGATATTTTACTATAGTCATTCTAATGTATGTTGATATATGTGTAATATACTTGTATAAGAACTTTAACCCATACAATAACTTACAAAAATATGTGGACTATTAGAATATAATATCAGATATAAAAAGGTAACATGAGAGAACCAAGGAGATAACCTAAGTGTCAGAATAATATGCCTAAAATGTGCAAGACTCTCACTGGCTCTAAACTCCCTCAGATACAGTCCTAGTGGTCCCTAAGCATTGTCAGGCCTGAGTACTGCACCACCACTGGACCAAGTACCAAAACCATCAGGCCCACATAACAGGCTAAGAATCACAGGGAATGAGCTTAGAGCCCTAAGTGCTGCTGAGAGTGGTCCCTACTGTGAGGTTATTTAGCTATAATATGAACATTAAGTATTAATAAATATAAGTATTAGTAAACATTGGCCCTCCCGTTGATCTTCGATGTGCTCGAATGGGCCCAGTAACGTCTCCATTGGAGACTTTGTTGTTACTGTGTTTGGCATATCGAATACGTCACGGGATAAGCATCATCAGTATTAGTAATTGTCAATAAGCTATTAATCAACAATTAACCATTTTATATGCTTATGAGAGCTTTAATTATGACCATATTATACATATTAATAAATATTAAATGTTATGAACATTAATAAATATAAGTCAAAACATGTTATGAACTGAATTAGATTACTTCAAAGTTAGTGTGCTAATGTCTTAACTAATTAAGACAAAGTACTTTTACTTTGTAATAGGGTCTTCAAAAGACTAATTTTACTTGGTTATAGGGTCTCTAAAGATATAATCATGCTGTAATGAGGTAATTGATCATTAGTGTAAGTAAATATAATATTGCTGGTGTCTTTATAATAAAAGAAAATTAGGACACAGACATGTGCAGAAGGAAGACTATGTGAAGACCAAGAATGTAGCTACCTCTAAGACAAGGAGAGAGGCATCAGAAGAAACCAAAGTTGCCAACACCTTGATCTTAGACTTTTAACCTCACAAACTGAAACAATTAATTTCTGATGTTGAAATCAAGCAGTTTGTGGTGCTTTCTAGAGCATCCTTGTTAGCAAATACTACCACTATGCTTAAAAACTTGTTTAATTACACATAAAAATTATTTACAGTTTTTGCATTTCACATTTATTAAGAATTTTTTTCATGATTGAATACTTGTATCATGTTGGCAATATCTTATACATAGACAATGCTCAATAAATTGGGTCAGAGTGATAGTACAGCAAGTAGGGTTACCTAGCACATGGCCAGCCCAAGGTTGATCCCTGGCTGGCACCTAATATGGTGCCCTGAGCCAAGCAGAAGTGATCTCTGAGATCAGAGCCAGGAAAAAGCCCTAAGCATTACCAAATGTTGCCAAATCAGCTCCCACCACCAAAGAAAATAAAATGCTTAATAAACATAAATACCATAAATTATTTTACTTCTAAAGACACATCTTATATATATATGTGTGCTAAGAAAACATATTCTTTAACAATATTTAGACATAAAGACTGGAGCATTAATATAGTGGATAGGGCATTTGCTTTGCATGAAGCTGACCTGACTAAATCCCCACACCCCATATTGTCTGCCAAGCCCCACCAGAGTTGATCCCGGAGTAGAGACAGGAGAAAGTCCTGAGAATTGCCAGGTGTAGCCCAAAAACACAAAACAAAACAAAACAAAACAAACCAAGTAAGTAAATGAATCAAAACAACTGCTCTGTGAAAATTTCATTAAGAAAGTTAAAGACAAGACCTACATTGAGTGGAAATGAAAACTACAAGGTTGAGGTGTGGCTCAGTGGTATTGCATATATCTTATATGTATGAGAACCTGCTTTCAGTCTCAGTACTGCAAAAGATTTTATAAAATACAGATCCTGGGTAAATGGTGGTGGAAAATGGACACTGGTGGAGGGATGGGTGTTGGATCATTGTAAGACTGAAACCTGATCATGAGCAGCTTTGTAGGTATGAATCTCATGGTGATTCATTAAAAAAATAAGATTTTAATTTAAAAAATACAGATCCTACAAAGGGTTAGGATTTAGAATAGATGAATAATTTTTAAACAGTAACAAAACATTAAAAAGGAAGGATGCTGTTCTGAGTAAAAAGAGACAAAAGATATCACAACAAAAATACAGTGTGCGAATGTTTATTTGACATTTCCTCAAAAATATTGTGAGAAACATTTTAAAGGATAACTAGAAATATCTGATATGGACTAGGTACTAGAGGAATCAGCCACCTGAATCAATTGTTGCCTTAAAAAATTGTGCTCTTAAAATCTGTAAGTCTATAACTGTACCTCATGGTGTTTCACTAATAAAAAAAAAAAGAAAAAAACAAACAAACATATTAAGAAAACTTTAGAATTTAAAAAAAATTGTGCTCTTAAGATTAAAAGTTTGGATATCTAAAAATTTCAATGAAACTGGAAATAGTTTCACAACCTTCTTTCCCTAGAAATGGGAGTAAATTGATATCTGTTAAATGGAAGAAGTTTTTTCCCCAACAAATAGAAACCTGTCAAATGCAGCCAAACACTTGTTTGTTAGTTATTGAGGTAAGAAATGTGAGATTACTAACAATGTGAGATTAAGCGATATTTCATAATTACAGGATTCTGGAACCAATATAGTATTAGTAAGAAACTTGCCCAGAATTTTAGGAAAACACCACATTTCTATTACAATCACTGCCATCTGCATTCCTAGGTTCTTTTCACCTAATTATATGTATTTTTTACTTTGTTTTCTCCTATTAATATTGTTAATCAATATTAATTAAGTTATCAAATTTACTCAATAAAAAATTAAGATTGCATAATACCTTGTGGGAAAGGGTAAGTTTAGAAAATTATATTCAACATATCTAATAATTAAGTGTAAAATCTATATTTAAACTATATTTATACTGACATTGAATGGAAGAAAATATTTGCACATAATACATGAGATAAACAGCTAATATCCAAGATTTACAAAGCTAAACAATTGAAAAATAGTAATTCCATACAAAAATAGGAAGAGAAGATGAACATACACATCTTCCAAGAAGACATCCAAATGGCCAGTGGGCATATTAAAAAAGTGGTCATTATCACTTATTATTAGGGAAATTCAAATTAAAATAATAATGATATATCATTCGACACTAGTGAATATATCATATATTAAAAAGATGGAAACAACCACTGTTGGTGGGACTGTGGTGAAAAAGAAATCCACATTCACTGCTGGTGGGAGAGTTTTCTGGTTCAGTCTCTATGGAAAACAGTATGGAGATTTTTTTAAAAAAATAAGAGTGGAATCTTTCTGTGTCTATCCCGCTCTTTCTGACTCATTTCTCTTAACATGATACTTTCCATGTAGTACCACTTATATGTAAATTTCATAACTTTATCTTTTCTAGCAGCTACATAGTACTCCTTGTGTAAATGTACCAAAGTTTCTTTGACCAGTCATCTGTTCTCGGGCACTCAGGTTTTTTCCAGATTCTGGCTATTGTAAAGAGTGCTGCAATGAACAAACAATTGCAGATATCACTTTGACTATACTTTTTTACCTCTCTGAGATGGGGTGATGGGGGGTGGGAGGGATGCTGGGACCCGTGGTGGTGGAGGATGGGCACTGTTGGAGGGATGGGTACTTGATCACTGTATAACTGAAACTCAAGCACAAAAATTTGTAAGTCTATAACTGTACCTCATGGTGTTTCACCAAAAAAAAGAGTGGAGTACCCAGACAACTTGGCAGTTCCACTTTGGGTTACCTCCTCCCCAGACACGAAATCGTCGATTCAAAAAGATATGTAATCACCTACATTTGCCTCAGTATTTAGTGAAATAGCCAGGATATGACAACAACCTAAATGTGAAAAGGCAAATAAATGAATGAAGAAATTGTAGCCTAAATAGTCAATAAAATAATATGCAGCTCTAAGAAAAGAGGAAATCATACAGTTCACTGCAATGTGCATGGAACTGCAGGGTATCACACTAAATGGTGAAATAAGTCAGGGATTGTAAAAAACTATGCACGCTGAAGGTTGTGTGTTCGCGGGCTCTCTGGACGACTGATGGCCAAGGGCAGACGAAGGAAGAGACGAGGGCCAGGCCGGTTGATCTTAGTGGCAGTTTATTACAAGGAAGTTTATCCCATAGAAGAACCTTATGTTATGAAGGGCCTAGGTTCTCTCAAGCACACGTTCCCCTTGCTAGTCTCTCCGTGCTCTCCTGTAACAGCATCAGGAATGGTCACAGCAATGATTCCCAGGGGAGCAGCTATTAGGAGTCCAATAAATTTCAGGAAGCACTGGATCAGCCGGGGAGCACTGGAACAGGAGCATCACAACTTCTGGCAGGAGTACTTCAGTAGGGGAATGCAGCCATTCTCCGGTCAGGTTCATCAGCAGTCATAGATGTGCAACCTAGCTTATGTTTGAGAAAAAACACTTTTTTAAAGTTATCAGAGGCCTTAACCATCAGGGTTTGGTCTCCATGCCTGTGAGTAGAAAGACAGAGGGAAGCTTCAATACAGATGGATATCCTAGAGAGAAATGAAAAGGTGTTCCTGTTAGAAGTCATTCCTTTCTCCTTCAAGAATCTGTGAATTCCAAGAAAGGGGTAAAAGTAAAGTATTGTTAATTCAAAATGTGGAGGCTTGGCGTTGTCCAATCCGCAACCTGTAATACCGTATTAACTTGCTCATCTATGGAATAAAGAGAGGATTATAGAACAATGCTGAATCCTTGGACTTGGTTTACAAAACAATAAGAAGGATGGAAGGCATGAATATCAGAGCAGAGGTGACATAGGGCAGTGTGAAAGATCCTGGGCAATTTAGTGATGTAGTATCTGCATCAATACCAAATAAAAATTACCACTATTTTGACCATGTTGCCTATATTAGAAAAAATTAATTACTTTTACTAACATTGAAATGAAGAGACTGAATATTTTAAGTTATTAGCTAGGTAACATGATAAGAGATACTATATTAAATATAATACCATTATTTTATTTAAAATATAATAATAAAACCCCTGTCATCAGCATCATTCCTATCTCCGTTGATAAAAATAAAAAACCCTTCTAGTTTTAAGTGAAAAAAATCAGACACAATTCTTATTCCCTGTTTTGTGTTCAAAATCCACACTATTCCCTCAGGAAGTACTGTCATCTCTGTACTCAAAATATATCCAAACTTCCCTCCCTCTCCATTCCCTCTCATCCACCATTTTGGTCCAAATCAACATCATCTTGTATTTGCTTTATTGTTATGATTTATTGTCTATCACTTGACTTCCACCCTTATTCCCTATAACTTACTTTCCAGTCGTCAGGCAGTATCCCATTGAATAATTACATCATATTAGTACATCTTCTGTCAAATATCTCCTCTAGCTGCATTCCACTCACAGAAAAAGTCAAAATTATTCCTATACGCTATATATTCACAACAGTCTATATGATCTGGGACATAAACTCTTACTACTCCTCCCCTCCTCATTCACTGCTCCATCCATACTGCCATCCTAACATAGAAAATAAATCCTTCTTTCCCAAAATCTCTATAAAGTTGTTTCCCCTAAATTCCAGATATATGGATGGCTTACCTTCTCACCTAAGCGGCAAGTCTGTTCAGATTTTACCTTCTCAATAAACCTAACTTGGCCTTTGCATAATACTGTAATCTGTTACACCATCATTTCACACGTTTCTAAATATTTGATTTTCTTTACCTACTACTACATTTTTTTGCACAGCACTTAATCTCTCCTAGCTAGTTAGATGTATATATATGTGTGTGTGTGTGTGTGTGTGTGATATACTTTATTATTCTCTTTGTTATCTATCTCCTCTCAGTAAGCTGTGAGGTACACATTGCCTTTCACGTATTTTTGTTCCTACGAGAGTATCTTGATCACATACCAAAGCCTGACAAGCTCCCTGTGACATATTCAATATGTCAAAAACAGTAACAATTTTGTTGCCCTCTTGAGCAAGTAGATGAACAATGGGAGGACAGTGCTACAGTGCTACAATATGCCTAATCCATAATAGAACAGTTACAAAATTTTGAATAAATTTCTGAATAAAATATTTCTAGTATTGTCATTATATTTCATATTCACTGAAAAAGCAAGATGAGGAACTTTTGTATCACTAATTCTATACATTTTTATAAGTTCTTTTATCTACTAAATCCATAAATAAAATAATATACTTTTTAATTTAATATGAAATTCATCTTTACTTCTAAGAATACTATAATTTGCTTACATAAAAACCTGCTTTCGTTTTCTTTCCACACAGAACAGAATCCAACACAAAAATGAAACTCACTAGGTGCGGAAAGCTTACTCTGGGCATCCTAATAATTGTGACTGCCGCGGTGCTCATCGGACTCATTGCTTACTTTATCACATGTGGTGAGTGCTCCTTATTCAAGCCTCCCTATAGAACAGAATTACTTACTTACCTCACTATAGAGAAAAACTAAATTTTTAGAGTGAAGGAAAGAACAGAATTAGGCGATAATATTCTCAAGGAAGAATTTTTTATGGTTGCTAACAATTACTGGAGATTTTGCTCCAAGGCATACTAAATCTAAAGGTTTGGCCTACTCTTCTTTAATTCCTTATAAATACTTTGTTTCTGGTAATACAGTGATGAATAAAGTAGCACTGCTCTTACTTTTGCCTAACTTAAGTTTCTAGAGAGATGATCTAGGAGTTAACAAGTATAAAAGCTTAGAATATAGGGCTCTGTGCTTTAAATATTCTTAGTCTAAAATGTAAAATATACAATATGATCACATAAAATTCTCCCTAAAAATGCAATATTCCCATGTTGTGCAGTAACCTTGTGACCTAAAACACGAACGTTAACACTATAGTAAACTGGTACCAAAATGATAAATTTTATTTTATTTTAAAAGGTAAAGGTAAAGGTAAAGGCCCTCCCGTTGATCGTCGATTTGCTCGAGCGGGCCCAGTAACGTCTCCATTGGAGACTTTGTTGTTACTGTGTCTGGCATATCGAATACTCTTGGTAGCTTGCCGGGCTCTCCGAGAGGGGCGGAGGAATCGAACTCGGGTCGGCCATGTTGGCCGCTTGTAAGGCGAACGCCCTACCCCTGTGCTACCGCTCCAGCCCATTTATTTTATTTTTGTTAAATTTATTTATTGAATCATCATGAGAAAAGTTACAAAGCTTTCAGGTTTAAGTCTCAGTCATACAATAATCAAATACCCTTCCCTTCACCAGTAATTATTTTTCACCACCAAGAACCCCAGTGTACCCCCCTCCCACCTCTTCCAGTGCCTGTGAGGCAGATGATTTCTACTTAACTCTCTACTTTGGTTACATTAAAGATGCACCATTATTGTTTGGAATTTCCCCCCAACAATCAGAACTGCTGGAAAGATATTGTGAAATAATTTGTCTTCTACTGCTGGTTATGAAAACCATATGATGCCGTGCAGCCGCAATAATGGCCATGCAAATTTAGATTTCTGATATTTTACTAATTAAGTCTGGAGGGATTTCTGCCAAGAGCCGGATAATTATGAGATTAGTTTCTGTGCATCTGGTGCCTTGGCTGTGCCGGAGAGCCGCTCATGGGAGGCAACTCGTGGCCTTGGTAGGGCATGAAGGATGAGCCGGTTCCATCCCCCATCCCATGAGACTGCAGTTGCCCCCTCACCGCCGACTCATACCTGGCTGTCCAATAAGCTCTGAGGCGAGGCTACCATGCTGCCGGGGGTGGGGAGGCGGGGGGAGGAGGTGGATAGTCCATTCACATTTCTGCCACAAACTCCTGGGCTCTGGATTAGGTCCGTGTGCCTTGGATGCCATGGCCGTGCCCAAAATGATTATTTTTAAAGACTAACCTCTTTAAAATATAGTGTTTCCTATTAGTGAATGATGAAATAATTTTTAAAAGTATCGCAGATTTTTTGTTTACATTGTTTAAAATAGAAAAAAAGGACAGGCAACTTAGTTTTTTTCCTAAAAATAGATTTTTGTGCCCTGTTCTCTGCAACTGCTCTTTACTAATGAACCCTTTCAAGAAGGGTCTTTCCATAAGAAATAGTCTTATATTCTTACAAGAAATAAAAATTTTTGAAAGAAAAAATCAAGACAGTTTATAGTTAAGTTCATAATGCATTTAAATTTATAGTTATTTACAGATACATGTTTAATAAGTAATGCATATATGAACAAGAATCACTGTAAAACTGATTTCTCAATAAAATTAATTCATAAAAATTAATAAAAGAACCATTGTTTATTAAATCAAGAAGAACAGTGTTGGGTATGTTTAATAAATATTTTCCCTAGAATAATCTATTGTCACCATGGTCCCATGCAATATAACTCATGATTCATAGATTTGAATCAATGAATTTAAAACACTGCAGTATTTTCTGATAAAATTATATTTAAGAAAGATGCAATCTAGCTGACTAAACATCCACTTAAGTTTACAAGAGGGTAAGTATTTATGTAGAGACAAAGAGGGTTGCATACAGCAGGATATAGAGGCCATCCTCCCAAGAACTAGGTGTTTAAAACCATCTCTGCATCATACTTTATATGTGCTCATCAACAGGCAGGGTTCTGTGTGAACATGATTACTAGGTAGATGATAATGTCAGCTGCTACCACTGCAAGACCAAGAGTAATAGTTAGAGCTGATGCCTATAAACGTCTAAATACAAGGTACTTACTCAAAATATAAATACATAAACTATTGCTTCTCATGAAGTATGTAAAAGTGCCAGAAAGAGGAGATAAGGAAAAATATTTTAAAAGGTTATCTTGTTGCTTTTTTTAATGGAGGCATTCACCTCAGGGAGTGCTCAGGCACTTTACTCCTGGAACTGCACTCAGGAATCACTCCTGATGGGCTCAGTGGATTATATGTGGTACCAGGGATTGAACCTGGGTCTGCCACATGCAAGGCAAACACTCTACACGCTGTACTATTGCTATATCCCTTTGCATAGCTTGTCTTTGAAGAGATTTGTGTTTTAATTTCTCATACACTACAATTGTCCCAATATCTTAAGAGTAGATGAAGGTCTCCTTTTTACATAAGGCTTATAAAAGAATTTGGAAGAGACCAAGATGGCCCTAGAAATTAGACCCTAGCTAATTTGTGAGCATAATAGATTGCAATCAATCAAACCCAGAATATCTAGAGAGACTTGGTACTCCTTTAACTGAGAGATGAGGATGTGGTACACGTTAGCCATTCTTCCAGAGCAATAATGCATAAAAATTCCCTATGAACCTGATACAGAGCACCCACATATGGGGAGTGAGTGACCTATTCTCTCAGTTTCTGTCTAAGGGGTCACTTGGAAAATTAAACAACTCTCAGGTTAAAGATTTCAGAAATACTTTCAGCTGCCTAAATATTCAAGCTGGGATATTTATTTATCTTTCTACTATGTTTTGAGCTAAAATTTACATGCATTTACATTAAAATTTACATGTAAAATTATATTAATTTTAGGTATAACAGTTCATGAATTTTTTAGTCATTACGTGTCTTTTTTTAACCTTAGGAATGTCAGATTATCTGGTGTATATTACAAAACTTAATAAATTAAAAATCTTTTACAATCTACATATTATTAGAGCCTGAGTGACTGTCCAGTGGGTAGGGCACTAGCCTTGCACAAGCTGACTTACGTTCTATCCTTGGCATTCTATATGATTCCCTGAGCCCTGAGTGCAGTCAGGAATAAGCCCTGAGCACAGCTGGGTGTGGCCCCCAAATAAAACAAAAAAATTCATAGTCAGCACAAAATAAATCAAATTTCAGACTGATAAAATTAACTGTGCTTTTTAACCTATTTTTCACATCATGCACAGTAGCCTTTATGGTCCTTCCCTCTTGAATGAAATTTCAATGTCATTTAAAGGTTTTCTAGTTCATTCCTTCAGACTCCAAACCTAGAAGCAATGAGTCATCTTCATACAATAACTACTCTTGCCCTTGAGCCCGTAATTAGTTACACAAAGACAGCTGGACAAACCAAAACATCATAAATTTGCATTCTGAGACAACTGCTTTTTCTTCTTCACCTGATCCTATATTATTATCCTATTTTTGGAGGAGGAGCAGGCTCTTGGAGTGAAATGCAAAAGAATTTACAAATGCTTCAGTCATCACTGAAAACTGAGTGAGTCTATTGAAAGAAAAGAAGAGCCTCCACAGGAATAGGAGTGGGGAATTGTGGAGAAAAGACTTTCCCCAGTGGCCCTAGAGTGTTTGTTCTATAATGAAGAGAGTAAATGTTTGATTCAATGAGTGGGTAAGTGGTATTACCTAAAAAGTTTAGCTCCTTAACCTGGAATTGGACTTCCACCCATTCTCTATTTTTTTTATGATCAACTCTAAACTATCTTGGTTGTCTTCACCAGCGGTGGTACCAGTTAGGGAAGAGTCACTAGCCTAAAAGTAAGGGGAGAAGAGCTCTCATTCATTGTGGGTTACTGACTACATGGATAAGGGAGTTGGAACTACCAACTTTACAGAGAACAGGAGAACTTGGAGTGTTCCATCTAGCAGTCCTTCCGGAAGTTAGCATTTTTGCTAGGAAGATGAGGAGTTAGACCTAAAGACGCTAACTAACATGGGTCTGCCACATGCAAGGCAACCTTTCAGCTGGCAATGATTTATTTTCTGTCCCTCTGCAATTAGTTAATTATCAGTATATAGTATATGTATGACCTTGAATACTAAAGAAATTCTATTTGTCACAGAACAAGTGACATTTTTTAAAAGACACAAATCAACTTCCTTGATTGACATTTTAGATTTTTTTTTATTTTTTGGGTCACACCCCTTGATGCAAAGGGGTTACTCCTGGGTCTGCACTCAGGAATTACAATTACTCCTGGCAGTGCTCCAGGGATCATATGGGATGCTGGGGATCAAACCCAGATCAGCTGTGTGCAAGGCAAATGCCCTATCCACTGTACTATAACTCCAGTCCCATTTTAGATTTCTTTACTCACTAACTTGATTTAATGGGTCTCAAGTGGCCAAGTTGTTTCCATTTAAAAGTACAGATTTTGAGTCTTGAAGATAGTACTGAGGGTAGGGTGCACACTGGCATGCCACTGATCCCAGTTTGATCCCTGACACCACACACCAGCTCAGTATCACTAGATACAGTTCCAAATCCTCCAAGTACCAGATGGAGGACCCAGAAGCAGAGATATACTTGGCGCCTCACGTGAGCCATCAAGCTGCTTGACCAACTATGCCAGGAGTTGCCACAAGACCTCTAAACTTCATTTAGGTTCCCCAAAATACTTATTTTAAAAACTAAAATATACACATCCACACAGACATGCACACACATAATAAAATAATCCCCAAACATTCCCTTTAATTCCAACATTTTTACTATACAATGTTATAAATACCTAGTACAGTCTTGGATTATTTAAAATATTATTTTAAATAAAAAGAATAATGAGAAATCTGAACAGAAGACATGAACTAGTGAAATTAATATAGCTCTAAACATAAAAATTGACATCAGGTAAATAGTGTTCGCCAAGGGAAGCACAGTCACTGTTTCGATAGTGAACAAAAGAACAAAATAATAATAATATCAATCCAATTGTGAAAAACATGTTTTATTCAAACATCTGTCATAGATAGTGCTGACATTCTGTAATTTCTATTTAAGTAATTTCCCATTAGCATTCTAGAGAAACTTTCTATTTTTATGCATCTTTTTAAAAAAAATTCTGAGCAATTTTGGGTCATTAATGTCATCCTGTTTAGATGTGCATTTTCTTTTTTTTATCCTTTTTTTTAGGATAAATAAATAAATAAATAAATAAATAAAAAACAATCAGCAGGGCTCAGGCCTTTCTCCTGGCTCTGTGTTCAAGGATCACTCCTGACAGTGCATATGTGGTGCCAGGCACCCAATAGTGGTCAGTTACATACAGTTACATACAAGGCAAATTCTTTACCTCTGTATTATCTCTTTGGATCATTGGAGTATATTTTCTTTATTCTGGCTTACATAGAGCTCACACAGGATCCAGACAGACCTAAGGACTTCGTGGTCTCCTACAATAAATGGAACCGACATCAATACATAGAGAAATCTTGGATATCAGCACCTTCCAAGCTAATATCTATCTATCTATCTATCTATCTATCTATCTGTCTATCTATCTATCTATATCTCTATATATGTGTGTGTATCTGTGCAGACATGCATATGTATGTGTGTAGACACATATATGTATAAATATATGCATATGTGTATGAACATATCATTAATTTCATATCATTAATTTACAGCAGAAATATATTCTAAGTATATTGGAAATCTGATATTTAGGAGAAAGGAGAGAAGGTGCTGGAATACGAGAGTCATGTTCTAAATGAAGTAAATATCATTTGCATAGAAACAGAAATGTAGAGGTATTTGAAAGCAAACTAATTAGGCAGAATTGCCTGTATTGCTGATAACTCATACTAGGTTCTAGGATTACAGTATAGAGGATAGGAGGCTTTCACTGCTTGTGCCTAGCTGTGGTTTGATACCCAGCACCACCTATGATCCTCTGAGCCCCACCAGGAATGATCCTGTGCACTTTTGGGTATGGACCCCCAAATAAACAAAAAAACAAGGGTGTCCAGAATAATAGTATAGTTAGTTGGGAGCTTGCCTTGCATGCAGCTGGCCCCAACTTGGATACCCAGCATCCCATATGGTCTCCTGAGTACTGTCAGGAGTGATCCCTGAATATAGAGCCAAGAGTAAGCCATGAGTGTGGGCCTGAAACAAAACAACACAAACAGCAATAAAAAAAAGTTCACATACTAAACCCAATTTATTTTTTAAAAGATAAGTCCTGACCCATGATAGGAGGATCTGACATTTATTCTTCTTCCTTCCTGGGTTCTTTCAACTAGGTGAGATTATATTGGAAAATTATTATCTGAATTTTAAAAAATGAAACTTTAAGCACAAACTTTTCTTTGTTTTTTGATTTTTTTTGTTTATTTATTTTTGGCTGTTTGCTTTAGTTTTGAGTAACTGCTTTATCTTGAACACTCTTTGTTCTGATACCAGTTTGGCATCCTGGCAGCATGCTTGCTTGTTGTATTTTAAGTTGAGGAATTTGCCAGCCGGCATACTCTTTAGCTGTGATGCTCACAGTAACTTGAACTCGCTTGTGTGATCACAGAGAGCAGAGCTGCATGTCGCAAATAGCAGAGCACCCAGCGCTGTGCTCAGTATGCATGGACAGCACCAGGAATTGAACTCACGGCCTCACAATTGGCAGTAAAGCATCTTAGTCATGAAGTCATCTAATATTAAAACAAATCACTAAACTTTTTTAACAGACAAGAGTTACTTGGTGTCTTTTCTTTCCAAAGTTATAGATTTGGGGGACAGTGGAGATATAATTATAGGGGCTAAGTTACATACCTTGCATATGGCCGAATTCTGTTTAATCCCAGCACCAGATATTGGCACTTGCAGCTCTGGGGATATCTCAGTTGGTCTGACTCATCTCCAAGAACGGCAGGTCTGAGCAGGACTATATAACTAGTCCGTTGCATTGGAACAGAGTTTCTGGAAGGGCACCCTAAGGCTCCTTAGCATTGCTTGGGAAACCATCTCCCCCAAATTTTACCCACTTTCATAAAACAAAAATGAAATATAAATACCCCCAAACCTGACGAACAATTTTCCTTACATTTAGGTAAGGTGCACCTTTAGGTGATATCACTCAATATTTGTCTTTTCTCCTTCAAATTTATTTTGCTTCATATAATCCTCGCAAGTTTCTTTCATTTTGCTTAAAATAGAATTTTATCTTTTTATGGGTGTGGGGGACACACCCAGGAGTGAACAAGACTTACTCCTGACTCTGTGTTCAGGGATCACTCCTGGAGGTACTCAGAGGATCATATGTGGTGTCGGGGATTAAATCAGAATCAGTCACATGCAAGGCAACCACCCTCCTGTCTGAACTACCTCTCGGGCCAGGGTTTCATCTCTTTATAGCTAATTAGTATTACATGATAGGTGTGATGTATATACATTACATACCACACTATCTTAATCTACTTGTATCTTGATGGGCTTTCCAAATGTTTTCCTATTTTATATATTATAAATTTTATGCAATAAACATTGGAATGGCATCCAAATATCAACTCTTCTAGTTGATATTTTCATATTCTTTCAATATAAAACCCAAAAATGAGATTACAGGATGAATATGGTCACTCTATTTTTAGTCTTGAGGAAGCGTCATTGTGTTCTCTGAAATGGTTGTAACAATTTACATTAACATCAGTTGGGGAAGGGTTCCCTTATTCTTGACATCCTCACCAGTACCTGTTATTTATTTTAATGTGAACGATTCTCATAGCACAGACCACCAAGAACCCCTTTTTTAATTTTGCTTCACTTTCCTAAGGTTTGAAATTTTGTTCTTTCATTTTATTTCATTTTCAATTAAAAGTTTTCCCTCATTTTGCTTTCGATTTTATTCATTTTTGTTTTCAAATAATAAAACCTAGGACATTGGTGGTTTTCTTCAGGGCAATTCATGATGATCATAAGGACTAGAATAATTATGCTTTAATATTATTTCTTCTGATAGTAATATATCTGTCTTGAAACTTGAAAGTTAAAAAATTGAAATTTTACATGTAAAAATTCTGAATGCATTCTTGGAATAGGTTAGAATCTAATAAAATCCCAGTACCAAAGTTATTTCAGTAATCACTGGGAATCAAAACTACTAGAATGTTAAGTTACCTAATATGTTATCAGGATACTCTATTTCATTTATTTACTCAATAATAAAAGCAGCAACATAATGAGAACCAAAGTATTTTCTTTCTTTTCTCAGGAAGGATAACGCTCTACTATCACATCAGCTTTAAAGCCAAAAACATTGACTATGACAGCTTGTTTGAAAAACCATATTCAAGTCAATATATCAACCTAAATATAAAAGTAACGTCTTTGGTAAGTTTAATTTTCTTCTTTGCATTATCCTTTTACACGCTATTAGCCTAGAAGTATCTGGATCCTATTAACTACTTTCTAAACTGAAATAATTGTAATTTCCCACTATTTCTTACCATTCCCTTAGTTAGATATTAGGACAGTCAGTTCTTAGAGAGATTCAGCTAGACACATATGCATAAAAAATAAAGTAAGTCAGATATATTTAGAGAATATCTAAGAAATTACTGACAATTTACTGAAATTGCTGTAATGAATATGCCTAATGCATTTAGTAAGTTCAATGAATAAACACATCCCACCTCCAAGATATCTGACCTAGTCATAATAGTTCTGTTTGTTGAATATTTTATATATCTGTTCTTCAGGAAGATAATAGCCAACAAAGAGATTAAATTGCTCAAAATGAAGACTATCTTTTTGAATTTACCATTAAAGAGTGAAAACTTTAAATGACTATTTAAGAATATTGTTCTGTGCTAAACTTTATCTTTTATGATCCAACAAAAAATCTTTTAAATTTCCCACTAAGAATGACTGAATCCAGTCTGTGCATATGCCTTTCTTTGGCACAGTTTATTAAATGACATATTTTCTATGGAATGCACCAGAATTAAATGTCACTTGTGGAGAAGAGGAATATTTTTTACACACCCAGCAATGCTCAGGAACTACTCTTACCTCTGTATTCAAGGGGTGATTCCTGGCAATGCTGGAATCAACATGCAGTGTTGGAAATTGAATCATGAAATTGCTTTGCATGCAATTACCCCTTATCTTATATATGTACATGTATGCATATATGTATAATTGCAATATAGAAGAAAATTGCTCCTTGTATTATATCTGTATCTATATACAGCTACAGATATGTTTATATATAAATTTTATATATATAACATGTGTGTATTATACATATATAGTTAATTATGAGAGAAAAACTAGGATTTTGAACACACGTCAAAAACTCAAGTATTTTCTATTTGCTCTATACCAACTACTCACACTTACTCAGAAATTATAGTTTTTAAATGTAAAAATATTAAAGAAAATATTATAATAATACGATTTTATATCTGATATCAATTAGCTGCATTTCAGATTAAAATTACTTTAATAATAATTCATTTCATGCGCTTCAAAATATATCAGAAAAATAAAATTCTATCAGTAATCCTAAATGCAAAATTATTCTACACTCTTATCCAAGATCTTTAATAATTAAGATCCTGATTTTATTTATAAGTAGAAATCATTGTGCTTGTAGTTTCCAATCAAGAAGAATTAAAACAGATCTATGGTTTACTCAAACATTACAGCCAACATTACAGAGCTACTATTCACACATCAACTAACACAAAAACAACTAAGAAAAATTATAATAAGGGGGCTGGAGTGATAAGACAGCAGGTAGGGTGCTTGCCTTGCATGCAGTCCACCCGGGTTCGATTCCCAGCATCCCATGTCATCCTCTGAGAGCCACCAGGAGTGATTCCTGAGTGCAGAGCCAGGAGTAACCCCTGACCATTACCGGATGTGACCCAAAAAAGAAAAAAAAAAAGAAAAATTATAATGCACTAGTGTTCTTTTCTACAGTTGAAAACAAGGATAGAAGAAATAAAAATGAAATCAGTAGATACCAAGGATTGAAACCACTGGGTCATATGGAGTTCAATTTCTGGGCTTTTGGATGGTTTCTATACTGTTTTTCATAAGGCTGAAGGAGTTCATTTCTACCAACAATGAATTAGAATTCCTTTTATTTCATTTCTCTGCTAACACTTGACTGTTTCTGGCCTTCCAAACATAAACCATTGGTGTGTGGTGTTATCTCCTTGTTTTGATTTACTTTTTCCTGAGGGCTGGAGCGATAGCACAGCGGGTAGGGCGTCTGCCTTGCACGCAGCCAACATGGCCGACCCGAGTTCGATTCCTCCGCCCCTCTCGGAGAGCCCGGCAAGCTACCGAGAATATTCGATGTGCCAGACACAGTAACAACAAAGTCTCCAATGGAGACATTACTGGGCCCGCTCGAGCAAATTGATGATCAATGGGAGGGCCTTTACTTTTTACTATTATGATGAATATTTTATATGTCTGTTGATCAAAATTATGTCTTCTTTAAAAAATTTTCAGTTCATGTCCTCTCCCCATTTTTTCATGGAGTTGGTTTTTGTTTGTTTGAAGTTTTTTGAGAGCTTTAAATGTCTTGATATTAGCTCTTTCACCAGATTATAAAGTGAAAATATTATCTCCTATTCGGTAAGATGACTTTTATTTTATCCATTTTTTCACTTTACAAAAGTTTTTTAGTCTATTAAACTCCCAATTGTTTCCCTTTTTTGGGATGGGAATGTTTGGGGTGCTTAGAGCTTACTCCTGGCTCTGAATTTGGTGGACACATGTGGTGAGCTTGGAGGACCATATTGGGTGCCAGGAATCAAACACAGGTTCAAGGCAAGAGCCCAACCTGATATACTATTGCTCTGGTCCCTTTTTTTTTTTAAGGCCCTCCTGTTGTTCATTGATTTGCTCGAGCGGGCCCAGTAACGTCTCCATTGAAGACTTTGTTGTTACTGTGTCTGGCATATTTTGAATCTTAACTAAACACTTTGTCTCATTGAATATACCCCTAAGGTAAATAATTTGGAGATATTTGTCAATGTTTTCCTTGGTGTTGATTGCCTCGAGCAGGCCCCAGTAATGTCTCCTTCATCCTAGCCATGAGATTTTTAATAAAGTGCCAAACTCAAGGCTCTTTCAGAGTTAGGAGAATGAGACCCATAATTGTTACTGGTATTTGGCATATTAGGTACACCACAGGGAGTTTGCCAGACTCTGCCGTGTGGGCAGGTTACATTCGGTAGCCTGCCAGTTTGCCCAAAGTAGGAAAGAGATAATAAGATGCGGCCGAAGCTTCCAGGAGTTGGGTTTTATAGTCTCTGAGTCTTGGCCATTGATGGGATTACACAGCGCCAGGGGGCCAGTTGGTAAGTGTTACCCCCGCCTACTGGAATTTGGAGGATATGGGTGGAGGATGCTCAGCCCTGGATCCGAGTAAACTTGGAGATCTCAGCCCCGGGACCCGCGTGCCTTTGTTCCTCTGCCGGTATCTTCATGTGTGCAGAGAGTGGTCTCAGCATGGTGGTGGCTGGTTCTGGAGGTCTTTGGCTGCCAGAGCCCTGGTTGGGGCGGGGAGGAAAACTCAACCCGCTCCCTTCCAAGGGGCCCCAGTGAGGACAACCAGGCGCGGGGGCAGGAGACTCTGCACTGTTCTGTTCCAGGAGTTGGGTTTTATAGTCTCTGAGTCTTGGCCATTGATGGGATTACATGGCGCCAGGGGGCCAGTTGGTGGGTGTGACCCCCGCCTACTGGAATTTGGAGGATCTGGGTGGAGGATGCTCAGCCCCAATCCGAGTAGGCTTGGAGAGCTCAGCCCCGGGACCTGCGTGTCTTTGTTCCCCTGCCGGTACCTTCATGTGTGCGGAGAGTGGTCTCAGCATGGTGGTGGCTAGTTCTGGAGGTCTTCGGCTGCAAGAGCCCTGGGTGGGGGGGGGGGGAGGAAAACTCAACCCGCTCCCCTCCAAGGGGCCCCAGTGAGGACAGCCAGGCAGGAGACTCTGCGCTGTTCTCTTCTGGGAGTTGGGTTTTTCCTTGGTGTATTTTATAGAATATGATCTAATATGATCTAATATGAAGATCTATAATCCATTTTAAGTTAACTTTTATATATGGTGTGAGATGGGATTCAGCAGATGGGATGCAGCCTCCTCCTCCTCTTCCTCTTTCTCCTCCTTCGGCTCCTTCTCCTCTTCTCCATCTCCTCCTCCTTCTCCTTCTCCTTCTCCTTCAACTTCTCCTTCAACTTCTTCTTCTTCCTCTTTTACTTGTTTTTTTGCTCCACATGGCTCTTCAATTTCCCCAGTATCATTTGTTGAAAAAACTTTCTTTATTTCATCTAATGACCTAGGCTCCTTGACTATTGATTAAAAATTATATATGACGTACATATTCATATCAGTGCTGTATATAATATGCAAGATATGGGAAAAACTCCAATCCCAGATGAGTGGATAAAAAAGTCGTGATACACTGGCCAAGCAAGTGAAAACAGAGATAGACAAATGGGACTATCTTAAACTAAGAAGCTTCTTCACCTAAAAAGAAACAGTGACCAAAATACAAAGACAGTCTACAGAATGGGAAAGGATATTCGCCTACTACACATTCGACAAAGGGTTGATATCAAGAATATACAAAGTACTGGTTGAACTCCAAAAGAAGAAAATATCCAATCCCATCAAAAAATGCGGTGACGAAATGAACAGAAATTTTCTCAAAGAAGAAATCCGAAAGGCTAAAAGGCACATGAGAAAATGCTCTACACCATAAGTCATCAGGGAGATGCAGATCAAAACAACAGTGAGATATCATTTCACACCACAGAGACTGGCCCACATCCAAAAGAACAAAAGCAACCAGTGTTGGTGCGGATGTGGTGAGAAAAGGACTTTCCTTCATTGCTGGTGAGAATGTCGTTTGGTTCAGCCCTTTTGGAAAACAGTATGGACGATTCTCAAAAAACTAGAAATTGAGCTCCCATTTGACCTAGCAATACCACTCCTGGGAATATATCCCAGAGAGGCAAAGAAGTACAGTCGAAGTGACATCTGTACTTGTTTGTTCATTGCAGCACTGTTTACAATAGCTAGAATCTGGAAAAATCCTGAGTGCCGAGAACAGACGACTGGCTAAAGAAACTTTGGTCATCTACACAATGGAGTACTATGTAGCTGTTAGAAAAGATGAAGTCATGAAATTTACATACAAGTTGTACTACATGGAAAGTATCATGCTAAGCGAAATGAATCAGAAAGAGAGGAACAGACAGAAAGATTGCATTCATCTGGGGAACATAAAGTAACAAAATCGGAGACTCACACCCAAGAATAGCCGAGATAAGTATCAGTAGGCTTACTCCATGGCTTGGAGGCCAGCTGCACATGCTAGAGGAAAAGGCAGCTCAGATAGAGAAGGGAGCACCAAATAAAGGGTGTTGGGAGGTTCCTCCCAGGATGGGAGACGCATGCTGAAAGTAGACTATAGAACAAACATGATTGCCACTCAATTCCTCTTTTGCAAACCACAGCACCCAAAAGAGCGAGAGAGAACAAAAATGCCCTGCCACAGAGGCAGGGTGGGATGGGGAGGATGAGGGGTGGGAGGGATAGTAGGATCAGTGGTGGTGGAGAATGGGCACTGGTGGAGGGATGGGTACTCGATCATTGTATAACTGAAACCCCAGCACAAAAATGTATACGTCTACAACTGTACCTCATGGTGTTTCACTAATAAAAATTTTTAAAAAAAAAGTCGTGGTACAGACAATGGAATGTTATTCAACTAAAGAAAACATGGAATCTTGTCTATTGCTACAACGTAGATGGGGCTAAGGGAAACGTATTAAAGTAGAGAGGGCAAATACTGCATGACCTTGCTTTTATGACTTTACTTTTTATGATCTTTTCATGAATCAAAGAAATAAGCCAAACACTCTTCACACCAGTGAAATAATAAAAAAGTAAGTAATAAGTAGATATTAAAGTGAAGAAAAGGACATCAGTTACTATTGCTATATTATTATATATTTAAATATTAAATATATTAAATTTTAAAGACTAAATAGACAAAGTCATAGAAATAATAACTGTGTTTTATAAGACGAGGAAATACCAGAACAATACATAAAAGTAACTTCTTTCTTAATAACAAAAATTAGCAAAGGGTATTATTTCCAAATGGACATAATAACAACAAAAACTATAAAATATTAATAAATAAAATTGGCACATTATACATAATGCATATAAATAAATCCTTAAAGCATTATAAAGCTTAAGAAAAAAACAGATTGTCAGAGTTAATCTTTTAGGTCCACGCAATTCTTTTTTAAAGAAATCTTAATTGATCACCCAAATGCTATCCCCAAAATGACCACATCATTTTACTTAATTTCACATCTAACACGATCTTAAAATATTATATTTTAAATACTTCTTCCTTTGTTGCTTATTTTCTTAATCCTATATCCAGAAAATATTTATCTATCTTATTTATTGTTCTTTTTCAGTAGATATTTATTGAATATGTTAGCAAGTTCTAACTGCTTTGTACCAACAGGAAAGTAAAATAAATCTATAATTCCAGTAATGAGTTGCTATTTTGAAAGGTCTACCATTACCAAACTAAAAATCCTGGGTGTGGGGGGTAAGGTGCCACCAGCAGGTCAATCTGTACCTGTGAGGCGAGTGCATCAGCAGCCTGATGGTGCCTTTAGACTTCCAGATACCCCCAAATTGCTGCTGTGCTTCTGGCCAGGGTTCAAAAACTTGGCGCAAAGTTTACCAAGAAAGTAAACGGCCAAAAGTTAGATATGTGAGAGACACATCCACAAACCACCTCAGGCTCAGCTATATAATTGGAGGCATGGCCTCTCTGGTTTCTGATCGAACTGCTTAATGGCCATGATCCCAGAGACTCAGAAACAAATCTCAAAACCCAACGGCTGTTGGCAGAAATGTGTCCTGTCCCTGCAGTAGGTTACCGGCACTGGGCCACCCCAGGTGGGAGTAGGTTTTGTGTCTTGGCTGTTCCTCCTGTTTGCCCAGTGCCGCCATCCTCCAGAGGCCACTGGACAGTCAGTTTTGGGCCCGCAGTGACGAGACACACGGGGGCCTCACGGGATGGGGGTGGAGCCGGCCTTTTCCTCCCTGTCCCAACGATACCTCAAATCACCACCCATGAATGACCTCTCTGGCTCCTGATTAAGCTGCTTAATGGCCATAATCCCAGAGACTCAGAAACAAATCTCGGAACCCAGTGGCTTTTTGCAGAAATGCATCCAGACCCTGCAGTAGGTTACTGTCGCCAGGCAACCCCAGGGGGAAAAAGGTGCTATCCCTCCGCCTGCTCCCCCTTGGCGGTTAGGTGGCCGCCATTCTCCAGAGGCCATTGGACAGTCAGGTTTGGGCCCTCAGGGACAAGACATGTGGGGCCTCATGGGATGGGGGTTGATTTGGCCCTTTCCTCCCTGCCCCAATGATACCTCGAGTCACCACCCACAAATGACCTCTCTGGCTCCTGATCAAGCTGCTTAACAGCCATGATCCCAGAGACTCAGGAACAAATCTCGGAACCCAGCAGGCTTTGGCAAGAAATCCCTCCAGATTTAATTGTTAAAATTTCAGAATTTCAAAATCACGCAGCCACTACTGCAGCTGCACGACAGTATATGTTATTCATAACTAGCAATATGAAACAAATTGTCTACTATTTCTTTTTCAGCAGATCTGAGTGTTGTGGTAAAATCCCAAATAATAATGGTGGGTCTGGTGTTAAAATATTGAATGTGATCAAAGTAGAGAGAGAGTGATGTGGAAATCATCTGCCCCACAGGTAGGGGGAGGGTGTGGGATGGGGGTATACTGGGGGTTTTGGTTGTGGAGAATGGGCACTGCTGAAGGGATGGGTGTTTCATTGTATGACTGAGACTTAAACCCGAAAGCTTTGTAACTGCTCTCACAGTGATTCAAGAAATAAAATTATAAAAAATGAAAAAAAAGTAAGGTGGAATTCATGCCCAATTCAATTGGCCTAATTGTTGGCTGAATAAATAACAGTACTTCTATATTAAAATAAAAATACCTACACCAGATTTAGCAACATGGTCTGCTTTCTCTTTAAATAAATCATTTCCCAAACACTAAAAAAAAAAAATCCTGGGTGTTGCAAATCTGATATCTGGATCTCTGTAAAATTCTAGTTGTGATTTATTATCAGGAACAGGTGAGAAAGATTTCTCAAATTTTTATGAGTCCAACCTTAAGACTGCTGGCAACATATCATTGAAATACAGGAGAAATGGTTGACAGTCACATAGGAAGAGGAATGCCATAGTTCATAAAATTTTAGAAACATCTTCTTGGGACATTTGTGTTAATTTTCATAGTATTGGTGTTCGATAAAAGTCTGACCAGGAAAGACTGACTATATTAATGGATTCTTAAATTCATCTGTTCTACCATTCTATAGTTAGAAGGTAAAAATGCATATAATTATCACACACAAAAAATATCACTATTACTTCATTTACTGATTTCAGAGCTTTAAGTAAATGAATTTAATCGGTATAAGGATTATTTTAAGAAAGACCTATGTTTAGCACAGATTAAATATTTTTCTTAATGAGGACATGATCTGCAGCCATTTTAACATCACATATTTGATGCTATTATTAATATATTTAGTTCCTGGATTGGGATTGGGGTAAAATGAAACTGTTTTGAGAATTTATTGATAACGGTGAAGATTAATAATGGAAACATAAGGCTTCTTATACTGTTTTATTTACATTGAATATATTTGGAAATTATACACTTGAAAATTTTTAAATGTTTTAATAAAGCATAGGTCATTTTCCTCTTTACATCTTAACAGATAAATGAAACATTTCATGGCTCCAAGCTGGGAAGACATTTTATCAAATCACATGTTGTACAAGTAAGGTATGTAAAGTAGTTTGTAGACACAAAAAAAGGAATTTTGTCCCTTGAAATTATATCTTGCACTCAAACTGTCTTTTCTTGCAATCAACTTAAAAGTAGATATAAATTTGGAATTGGAGTCTTGAAGTCACTAGCATTTTCAAATGTTAAAGAAGGTATACAAGATTAATTGGGGAAAAAAATTTAACTTGAAACCAGAACCAAGAATCCTTACTGACTGTATCATAGTAAGATTACATCATAGTTGTATTTTCATTTCTGTGCACAAGTTCATACAGAAAATGTGAAATCTGTAGAGAACCAGATACCCACACCTGACCCAAGAGTGGTAAACTGGTAACTAATGGTCCAAATTCAGCGTAGAATTAAAGGTTAAATGAAAAATTTGGTAAATTTAGCATCTTTTAATAATTTTCAAAATGTGATGAAAAGTCAAAATATTTAGCCACAGAAGTCCAACACTTCCACTTGAGAATAGGCTGAAACTGAATGTGTATAGTTTGCCAGAACCTCTAACATTCACGCAGTGCATATGTAGCTATATTCACCTACGTTTCTTCTTTTACTTTACCTTTGTGCCCCTCTTATAGTCCCATTGCATAACTGTTTTTAATCTGTGAAGATGCTTATTCAGACTGTAGTTGGGAAATGTAACATCGTAACTAGGTATAAAATATCTTAACTGTTAAATCAATGTAAAAATGTAATATGCTTTGGAATCTACATTTCCATAAAACTAATACTTGAGCTACTTTATTTTCTTGGCTTATATTTAAATAAATGGTTTACCAGATAATTTTATATTAACACATTAATCTGCTAACCACCCTTTATTGTATGCATATGCTAGTTTTTTGTTGTACACATGATGAGGAAAGTGAAGCAAATATAGGTTAAGTTACCTGCTCATGTCATACATACTATTAAAACAGAAAAAAAGTCAAGTCATAGAGCCAGAGAGATCATTCAGGACCTTGTATGATTACTTGCTCTTCGTGCAGCTAACCTGTTGAGATCCTCAGCATCACATCTGGTCCCTGAGCACAAAGCCAAGAGCAGCCCCTGGGCAGCTCTGAGTGCGGTCCCAAAACATGGTATAAATTAGTGAACTCATTAATTAGTTAGGCTATAGTTTTAACCCCATAGGTCTTACATAGACTATTGTATCAGTTTGTTTGATCTCCAAGTTTAACTCTTGCTCTACCATAATCTAAACTACACAAAGCGTAATGAGTAGGAACTTTCACTAAGACACCACACATCTCCACAGAAAGTGAATTGGAAGAGCAACTAACTCCCTACAAAATCTCCGCTGACAGATTGCTACAGCTTTCAGATCCTTACTTAGCCCAGAGCACGAATCTGATCTTTCTCCTCTCACCAACCTCTTCCCATATCTTCACTCACCTGGGGTTTATATATTTGTTCTTTGCTATTGTTTGTTCAATATAAACATACCAAAATTGTTTCCAGTGCAGGGCTGTCAAAACACCAGGTGAGCTGAAGTAGACAAGAAAGACTAAAGATTACTGTAATTGGTAGAAAGGCCAGAACTAAATCCTACTTCTCTTGAAATAAAGAAAGGACAAAAAGGGTTTTATAGCTACTGGGATGGGAGGGAGATTTTGCCTGATCATTACTGAGTTTTGCCCAAAGGAGGGTAAACTTCTTATATCTTTGGGGCAACCAGTAATTTTAGAAAATGGAGCAAAGTTTCCCACAGCTAAGTTTCCACTCTCCCAGGCAGACGAGATGCTATTGACTTTTAGTTACATCCCAAGACATAGTATTTTTGGGGATTAAAAGGAAAAGTTAAGAGACTTTCAAGAGATTTACAAAAATATTTACAAAAATTCAAAAATACAGAGAAATAATTTATAAGTTTTTAAAGTGAATATATTTTTTAAAAGTAGAGATATCAGATTTGTAAATCAAGGAAGAGACATGTTTTACAGTTACTACACTAACAGGGAACATTTAGACCATTTTGATCAGGATCATTGCATTTTCCCTTTCTTTTGTCTAAAACATTCTGCCTGCATACTTTAACATGGCTCATTCCTTCCTGAATATAGTTTCACTTCAACGATGGCTTCCCTGAATGACCTGTAATATGCACCTCTACCCTTTGAGTCATTGCTATATTTTCTTCATTTACTTAATTTCAAAGATTAGTATCTTGTTTTCTTATTTAGATCATTCTGTTAGCTTTGGATCAGAATTTTTTTTCTTATACTGGTATAACGGGTTGCTCAAATTTGCCTGGAATATTACCTGGACTAATAGATGAACAATAAATAAAAAGTTTAGGAATAGAAAGGAAAAGTATCTGTAGCAAAGCATTACAGGAATTGTCATTTTAAAAGAATAAGGCTTGTTTCATCAATTGAGAATAAAAGCAAAGTTAAAATGACCTTAAATTATATTTTCTGTGAAAGAAAGTATCATAGGACCCAAATGATTTCAGATTAAGAATACGTATGCCTAGATCTGGTTTGGTGTTAGACTGTTATTGACCCAGGAGAAAAGTTCAAAGTCACATCAAGCATTAAGCAAATTATAAACAGTAGTATGATATGTCCTTGTCTATTCCAAAGATACAAAGGGCTTTGCCCTGAAGACTAGACAAGAAATGATTAAAATGCATAAAAACAGAGACAAAATACTAAATAAATTAACATGCAATTACTAAAGACTTAGCATCATACAATGAGAATAACATTTTAGAAAATTCAAGCAATGAACACCTAGTATATATGCTTTCTGAAACCCAAAGTAATAACAGATGATATTAAAGTTAACCAATCCATTTATTTTCAATTACCCTGAAAAATTTCATTGAAATAATAAATCTTAATAATCACTTTAAAACTCTTCAATCTTTGTCATAGCTTCTATTTGTGAGTGTTATAAATGTTTGGAATTGTGCCAGAGAGAGACAGTACAGTAAGTAGGGCACCTGCATTGCATGTTCCAGGGTTTGATCCCTGGCATCACAGAAAGTCCCCAGAGCACTAAGAGTGATCCCTGAGCACTGAACCAAGAGTAAGCTCCCAGCCATGACAACTGTGCTTCCCCCAAAGAAGCCCCCCAAAAAATGTTTAGAGGAGGCAGAGAGATAGTACAGTGAGTAGAGTGCTTGCCTTGCACACGGTTGAACAAGTTTGATCTCCAGTATCCCAGTCTCTGGAGCACTGCCAAGAGTAATTCCTGAGCATAGAGCCAGGAATAAATCCTGATCATCATCTGGTGATGATGATCAGGAAAATAAAGGCCAGAAAAAAAATGTTAAGAATGGAAATTTTTAAGATCTGGAATAGCAATAGATTTTCAAATGAACAAAAGCAGAAAAAATGCTTAAGATGGGATAAGAAAGCACAGAAATAAAGACTAGAATAGAACAGATATTCCATCAAGTTAGCAGTAGTTATTTCTTTATAAAATTTCTGGCTTAAATATTTGTATTTTCAAGTCACAATTTAAACAATTTTGGTCTAATGTTTTTGCTCAATCATTTTAATAGGTGAGAAAAGTGAAATATTACTGCAAATTGTGTCTCCACTAGAAATAAAGTAGAAGTAAAGTAAAGTAAAGGCCCTCCCGTTGATCATCGATTTGCTCGAGCGGGCCCAGTAACGTCTCCATTGACTAGAAATAAAGACCACAATAATACATAATGCACTCTTCTTACCTATTACTGTTCACTTTGTTATTTGGTAATGACCTTTTCTATAAAGCCATTTTGGCTTTGTAATATATGGATGCACTTATAGTAATAAATGAGTTTGGTATAACCTTGAGCTTTTTCAAAAATATCCCCATAACTACCATTTTATAATATTTATATGGGAACCCCCCAAAATAAAATCATCATCCTCATTATAAAAATAATAAAATTTAAATTACAAAAATTTCCAACACCTTACTTTAGTCAAGGGGTTGACAAATGGTGGTCCTATAATACAAATTTGGTTCCCCTGAGTCTAAATACACTCTCTTTAGTGTTCATCGTGTCTGTCAAGTGCCATTCCCATTCTCTAGAGGGGAAAAGGATCTCCACTTAATCAAAGGGAAAAATGACTATACTTAACAAAAGATAAAATGGGCAGTACTCAGCAGTAAAAATATAATTTATTTGTCCCTTTCTCTTTTGCAGTCGAACCAAAGGGAAAGTACTAATACATACTGTGCTGAAATTTAAATCCTGTTATAAAAATAATGCAGCGAAATTTCGTGATAGGATTGAAGCCCTTTTGCATGAGAAGCTGAAGGGTAAAACTGGATCTTTATCTATAGATTCTTCTTCATTTAGATTTTCAGGTAAGCTTTTTTATGTGTGGTACAGAATGATTTTCATCTTTTAATTCAGATATGGTGTGTTATTATGCAGATGAGAATAACACTTCTGTCTTCATCATTTCATGTACAATGAGACTTGCTTTCAATTATTGCAAAGAAATAAGGGTTCATGTTCATCAATTTAAAATATCTTCTTGTATTCTTGAAATTATGCCTTCCTGGATAATAGAGGGTTTTTTTAAAAACTAATCAGTCTCATATAATTTTATTCATTTAAAAAATGATGCTAACTTCTTATTGGGGGGTTGGAGTTGGGTGGCACACTAATTAACTTCTTAATAGTTCTTTAATGAGCATATTTCTCCCACCCTTATACACAAACTAAATATTTTTGGTCTTTTTTTGGTAATTAGTATGGGGAAAGAAAGCCTCTAAAATGCAGGGACAACTTCCTCCATTTCCACTACCATGAAGTGCCTCTCTAATCTTGAAAGAGTATATCCACTGCCTGGTACAGCTAAGCTAGGCGATCAGCTCCTGCTGCAATAAATATAAACAAGAACAGAAAAGTGTGCCTATCCCTAATTGAAGGACTAAATAGATAAAATGTTTGCTAAAATTTAAAAAAAAAAACTAGGCCAAGGGTATATTTGCTTGAAACACCAAAAAAGATCACAAAGCAAACCTGAACATGCTTCTCCTGAGTAAGAAATCATTGTGTTGTTGATAAATGACTCCACTCAGGTTATAAGAGGTTTACTTTTTCAAGTTTTTTATGAAGACATCGTGTTTTCCAAAGTTATTCATAATTGAATTTCAGGCATATAATGTTCCAACACTAATCCCATCACCAGTGTCAACTTCCTTCCAATTATGTCCTCAGTTTGCTCCCAAGCACAGCCTGTCTTCTTGACATACATATTTTTAAATTTGTCTGCTAAATATCTTGCTTTCATTTGTCTTGGCTCTGTGATTCAGATAATTAGATATATTGCATCTCAACACTACCAACGTGTCTAAGACCCCTTCCTCTGACTCCTGTTACCTTTCTTACTTTAAAACCTCCCCCCTTATATCTTTTCTAAGAAACACAAAAGAACACAGATAAACAAAAAAAGTAGCTTTCCAATTTTAAATTTCACCCCAAAAATTTAGCTTTAGACATATTATCTTCAAGATATAACATTTTCATTTATTAAAGTGTTCTGCAATTTGTGGACAACAGTGAGTTGTAAATACTTCCTCTAAAATAATGTATTTTTAAGTGCATACTCAAATACAGAGCATGCTTTGGTATTTTCCTAGCCTCCAGTTATGTTTAATAATGTTTAATAACATATCTCCCTATTCCTCCTTCACCTCTCATGATCATCATTAAATAAATATATTTGGTGAAGTTTGACAAGGTTGGCAGGGATGGGGGATGGGAGACTCCAGGGGCCAAACCCAGGTGTGCTCAGGAATTACTTCTGGCTCTCTGTTCAGAATTGCCCCTGGCAATCCTGAAGGATCCTACAGTGCAGAAATCAGACTGAGACTCTTGCGTGCAAAATATGGGCTCAGTTACTGAAGTATTTCCCTGGCCCAAAGAAATAGACATTTTTCACATTTGCCTATGACATAATGCAATGTAGATTAGACTCAATGCTGTTATCTGGTGATAAACTAAAATAATGCTGAGAGTTGCTAAACAACAGCAGTTAAAAACGTTGTCAGAGTATCCTTCCCGCTTTTACTCCCTCTGCTTTCCTTTTGGGTGTTATCGTTGACAATACAGGTACTAAGCTGCCATCGTATTTGGCACTGGTGGAGGGATTGGAACTTGATCATTGTATGATTGAAACATAATCACAAAAGTTTCTAAGTTTGTAACTGTATCTCATGGTGATTCATTAAAAAAAATAATAAAATCAAAAACAAACAAACAAAAGACATGTTGTCACAACGTGTTCAAAGCCCAGCTTTTTCAGTGCACTGGCTTCTATGACCACTATATTTGCCAACAATTTTACTCAAGGTCAGATGTCTTTGGCATAGTTCTCAGAGAAGTTCTTCTTCACTTTGGTGTATTTTCTCAAGTTTTTAAGTCTATACCCACTAAAGTGATTCACTAAGATCAGTTTTTGATGAATGACTGCATCTTTCTTTAGTAATCATGAAAGCAAATCCCATGTCTTTTTTCCCTTAACATTGTATGTTCAAAGCCTGAAACAGGGCCTGGCTTGTAGCAGTTAGTGGTTCTAAATGAGTTAATGAACTCCTTAATGTCAACAATGCAACTTATAACCAGAATAGCAGGGAATATAATTCACCTTTCTCAATAACTGAGGCTCCACAAAAAAATAAGCCTTTTAAAAAATAGCATGGTCATACATAGATGCTAATAGTAAAGAAGTTACTCATTTCATAAAATAGTTACGTCAGAACCTCAGTTTGAAAGGCCTGATGTCAAGTGTTGTACATGTATACTACTAAATATCACCGCCACCCATAGACTATGTATATAAAAGTGCTCAATTATTAAATTCTGTGAACATAACATGTAATTTTATTTTCTACCCATTCCTGAATACCATAAAAAAATGGAAGTGCTATATCTTCTAAGGTACTAACAAATCAGAATTATGGAATGTCTTCACCAATTAGAGGTCACTATTTTCTCCAATTCTAAACTCACTATAGTAGAATACTTTCAAACTGACTAATCTAGGAAAAATAATTAAGGTATAGTTTTCCCCTGCTCATGAAGAAATTCATTTTCTTAAAAAATGTCTTATATTTCAAGGTCTGGAAATATAGTGTAGTAGGATAAGGCACTTGCATTAAATGAGGCAGGCCCCAGTTTGATCCCTGGCATCCCATATGTCCCCTGAGCACCACCAGGAGTGATTTCCAGGTTCAGAGCGAGGAGTACCCTCTGAGCAGCACTGAGTGTGGGCTACAGACCAACAAACACCCCCCCAAAAAATTATGTATCAAGTTCCTTAACTTATCGTAATTGACTTCACTCATGCTTAAATTATATTAAAACAAAAAACTGTCCTCCCATTGTTCAACGATTTGTTCGAGCGGGCCCAGTAATATCTCCATTTTGAGACTTGTTGTTACTGTGTTTGGCATATCGAATATGTCACTGGGAGCTTGCCAGGCTTTGCTGTGCAGGCAAGATACTCTCGGTAGCTTGCCAGGCTCTCAGAGAGGGGCAGAGGAATCGAACCTGGTTCAGCCAGGCTGGCTGCGTGCAAGGCAAGTGCCCTACCGCTGTGCTATCGCTTCATCTTTAAAATTAAGATAATATCAATATTTAAAATTGGTTAACAAAATTAATTTTTTTAATTGTATATATGTGACTGCTTATATAATCTCCTTATTTTTAAGCTTAATCAAAGAAAAGAGAGGGAAGGAAGAAAGGATGGAATAGAGAAAGGAAAAAATCTAGCTTCTCTAGTAGAGAATTGAAATTAAAAATATAAATCGTCCTTGTAAAGGCAGAAATATGCATTATGAGCTAAAGTAAGTATTTTAAATGAAATGTTTTATAAAATTGAATGCTCATAAATTTAATGGGAATACTTAAGGGTATGGTAATAATTTCTTTTAAAAATAATTATCATTCCCTTATACAAAACCACCTTGTATATACTGGTACACTTAAGCTAATGATTTGACTAGGCATGAAAAGTATTTTAAATACTTATTCTAAATAATAATTAGTCAAAATTAAAATGTAAATTATAAACAGAAAGGATAATTAACACGGACCTTTATATATAAGGATGAGAGTCCTGATCTACTACCAAGCATTTGACAAAAATGAAACTCTGACCTAAAACTCATTTATAAGCAACTGGCCAACACTAGAGTATTATCTTACTAGAACACAAGTTTTTTTATGTAATTTAATCCTAAAATGATGAAGGATTTTATTTTTACCATGCTTCAAGCAATTTAACCAATCACTATTTGGTAAGTTCTGGAGCACAATTTTTATAGCATTTTATTGTGCAGTGTGTCCTTTTTAACCAAGTTATCTTCATCTCTCTCGACCTGTTTTATCAGCAAAATGTTTCATAAAATATTCAAAAATATTTCATAAAAGTAGTGTAAGGCCTTCACCATTCCCTAGACATATACTTCAAAGTAACCAAAACTACTGAAGTTAGCTTATAATATCTTTTATTAGTAGAAAGAAGCACTGTCTTCCCGTTGTTCATCGATTTGTTTGAGCGGGCCCAGTAACAACTCCCTGTGAGACTTTATTGTTACTATGTTTGGCATATCGAATATGTCATGGGTAGCTTGCCAGGCTTTGCCGTGTGGGCGGCAAACTCTCTGTATCTTGCTGGAGTCTCCGAGAGGGGCAGAAGAATCGAACCCAGCTCGGCTGGGCTGGCTACGTGCAAGGCAAATGCCCTACTGCTGTGCTATCAAATCTTGTTAAAGTTATACATCAACAATATTTTCCTCTTTCCTAATATCACTGTGAACATTATTAATATATAGTTGTTATTTTAGTGTTTTCAGAGCATTTAGAAATTTGTAGGGTTATGGTGCCATCACTAAATGACTCAAAACTTGGCTTTCTGAGTTCTCATGTTTGTTTTATATATCTTATTTCTTTCTCAATGTCAAGCAGAGTTCTTACTATTCTTTCTGTTTTCTCTATTCTTTCCAACAGTTTTCCTTTTGTTTTCCTCCAGTTTATTTTAAATATTTTGCAGTAATTTAGCCAAAATTAGGAAATCAAATAAATAGCCTGTGAATGAGGGTATATTGGACCTTCTTATTTAACAATATAAGTTTTGCTGCAGTAATATTTTTGGTATATTAATTAGTTTCTCTAATCGCCCTTATTTTCTGATTTTTAACTTTATTTCCAGGAGAAATACAGAGCATTATTTTTGTTGGTATTTCAACATGTCTGCAACATATTCAGAAAAATTACTTTTAAGAATGTTTCTTTTAGGAGCTGGAGAGATAGTATAGTGGGTGGGGCATTTGCCTTGCAAGCAGCCAGCCCG